GTGGATAAATTGTGTCTTCCCTCTGGAAGTGCTCTCATTCATCCCGAGTCAACCTTGAGCTATAGGCATATAGATATGTGTCATGATTATTTGGTTTATAGAAAAATGTGTTGCCCTTAAACCATTATACAGTGATATCTAGCTGCATACACTTTCATGTTGTATATCAGGCTTAAATTAATGATGTAGTGGAAATAAATGAAGTACCAGTTCAGTTTCCCAAGGTCCTTCCTCTTACATGTACAGATGATTATGTTGTTGATTATTCTCACATTAAAAATCACTAGAAGACAAACTGAGGAAGTGCTCTCTCTAAGTCAGCCAGAGATAAATGTATATGTTGTGAAGCTACAGAAGTACAAGATAGCAGTAACATAGAACTGAAGATTCTGGCTGCCCCAGATCTGAACCTATTGTGGTTTGAATCAGTTTTGCAATTCTCAGCAGTTCAGTGTGCTATAGTATCAACAGGCCACCTCTTTGGACGGTAGTCTTGCTGTATTAAGCTTGCATATCCATATCAAATAGCATTTTGGTGAGGTTTTTAGGAGATTGCAACTTCATCTGTGGTGCCCTGAAGATTTGTAGAAGTTATGGCTGCAGAAAGCCTATTTATGAATCCTGCTGAAGTATACCAATCTTGGAGATAAGAGAGCATCTACAACAGACCAGTTTATAGACTTGGAGTTGCAGGTGGAAGATTCTTAGCCAAAGCTTCATCCTGTGCTTATGTAAGCAGTTTCATCAGAAGTTGTTCCATCTGGTGTTTTTCACTGGAGTACAAGGATAATGACATATACATAAACGAGGTTTGTCTAATCTGTCTCCTGTTTTGTAATTTAGCTACTTGATGACGACTTTAGTCTCCACTGTGTCAACTTTGCAGTTAAAATGTTGGAATTGTTTCTGAATTGTGTGATGTTCTGTAAGGCTGAGATTATAAACAAGCAATGATGCTGCCTTGTTGGCAATTTCAGCCTGAGTAAGACAATGGAAGCATTGTGTGTCTGTGTACACATGTGTGCGTGTTGTAAAATCCAATTACTATTGCAACAAGAGGTTCCCTGCCACAATTCTTAAGCATCTAGAGCAGTGGTTCTCAACCTGTGGGTTCCCAGATGTTTTGGCCTACAACTCCCAGAAATCCCAGCCAGTTTACCAGCTGTTAGGATTTCTGGGAGTTGAAGGTCCAAAAATGTGGGGACCCATAGATTGAGAACCACTGATCTAGAGGTTAGGACACCAAAAGAGCAATTCTTGATTGACATGGTTATGTTGCAGGTATTTCTAAAGCTAAGAAACAATGTCACAAGCACCTGAAACTATCTTGTATCTTCAGAGAGATGCAAAGACAAGATAATCGCTACCTGCAATCTTGCAGTCCATGGAGTCATTGTTGTGGCTTCTTTTAACATGGATAAGTCTCGGAAATTTGATGCCATTCTTTTATTTTCCTCTTTTTACAAAAAATCAGGAGCATGTTCTCATTGGTATTTAAATGAGATTTGGAATCTAGGGCCAGTCTGTGTTGTTCTTATTTCTAACTTTGAGGGTAAAGACTATCTGGGGGATTGGAATTGAACTACTTGTTGTTGTTGTTGTGTACCCATCTGTCTTAAAAGTCTTGAGGTTTTCTAAGCAAGATTTGCTCAGAGAAGGTTGCTTTTCTACAAGGCTGAAAGAGTGTGTCTTGTCCAAGGTCACCCATTAAGCTTCCATGGTTGAGTAGTTGTAATCCAATGCCCAAGTCAGTACACCACACTGCCTTTCCAGCATTGTAATTTTGTGTTCCTTGAAGTCATTTCTAGTGTATGTGGCCTGTCATGGGACTTTCTGGCCGCAATTTAATCAGAAGGGGTTTACTGTTGCTTTCCTTTGAGGCCGAGATGTAACCAGTAAACTCCTCTTTGGAAAAAAAAACCCAGTCTCAACCCCTCCTCTCTTGTAATAATGCTTGAGTATTAACTACTTGTGTACAGACTTAAGTGATCAGCAGCACTTACATTTCCTGTCATGTGCTAGGCTCACTAGGCATTGTTTAAGAAACAGCCTGCTTCTCTGATTTTTGTATTGCACATGAAATGTTCCTGGGCATTGTTAGTTTAATGGGTTGTTTTTACAGTCCTAAAGCTAAAATATTCATGTGTAAAATGAGACTGGACAAACACCAGATTACATTCCACAAATAGAATGTCCACTGGTAGCTCTGCACTCTAAATAGGCAAAGAATGCGACTTGCATATTTTTGTCCATAACCTGTTTTTCTCTGTTTCCTTACTTTATCTTGGGGTGGAAAACTACAAGAGTTTGAAGGTCTGTTGCATTTCACCCTGTGAAACCCTGAACACTCTCTTCATTGCCACTTCCTAATCGGTCACTTTTCTAGTCCCCCTTGGAAGGGTGTTTTGTGGGGAAGCTTTTTAGCCTCCATGCCTATTCCAGAACTTTAAAAAAAAAGAGGAGAACAAAAGACCCCGCCAAATTCAACGACATGGCCTGTAAAAAAACAGTAACTCGGAGGGGGTTTTTTTGGTCAGGAGCAACTTGAGAAACTGCAAATCGCTTCTGGTGTGAGAGAATTGGCCGTCTGCAAGGATGTTGCCCAGGGGATGCCTGGATGTTTTGATGTTTTACCAACTCTTATGTTGGTTAAAATTGTTCTTCATTTTAAATATTGTATATGTGCATTGTGCACAGGAATTTGTTCATGTTTTTTCCAAGCTATAGTCTGCACCCCCCCCCCCCCAATATTCTGAGGGACCAATGGCCCTTTGCTTAAAAAGTTTGAGGACCCTTGCCCTATAGTGTGTAGAATGAGGCTCAGTTACAATATTAAGAATATGTACAATGTTCTTACAAATTATCTTTACACACATTCCATGTGAAGGAGAAGCAGGGAAGAAGGTAGTTGTTTAAAAGTAATTGTTCAAGAAAGAGAGATAATGGAAAGACAGCTGGCAAAATATTTCCAGAGTAGTTTGGAAGAATCATATTGTAGCGCATATGGTATGTTAGCAATTAAAAGCCATTAAGTTGTAATATGACTTCCTAAAGTGACAGTTACACAACGCACTATTACCTGTTAAGTAGTATCCCTTGTGTATCTATATATAAAGTTACCTCTTCATTCAGAAATTTGTTAATGGTATGATTTCCTTTGGGTTTTTTGTTACCATTTATTGATGTTAGTATATCYTGCTCAATAACTACTTTGAACCAGCAAGGCCATTAAATGCTAATCAAAGTGGCCAATTGCAACATTCACACTTGCCTCAAGCAGACAAGAGTTCTTTCTCCCACCTTGGACATTTCACAGATATATAAACCCCACTTGCCTAGTTTCCAACAGACCTCACAACCTCTGAAGATGCCTGCCATAGATGTGGGTGAAATGTCAGGAGAGAATGCTTCTGGAACATGGCCATACAGGCCGGAAAACTCACAGCAACCCAACCTGAGTATACCTGTGCCCAAAAAATTTTTTAGACATATATCGTACCTAGATTATATATATATATATATATATATATATATATATATATATATATATAAAAGAGGCAGCTGCCCTTCATCTAGGAATCTGTGAAGTGTGAGATAGTCGCATTACTGCTGATTAATTGCAGGAAAACTCACAGCAACCCAGTGAAATTAAGATATTGCAATAAACTGAGTTCAGAGTATGATTCAGAGTATGACTTCCCCAAAATAAGGTTATCCAAGAAACTTCACTGTTGTAATACCTTTCAAGGTGGCAGACTTTAATCCTTGGAAAAAAAATAATCCCCAACTTTTTAAAACATTTCCTAAAAGTAATTCTGTAGACTCTTTTAAAAAATGATAATGAAATAGACAGCCTTTAAAAGAAAGTTTCTAAACTTAAATGTGTGTATATTTATTTGAGTTTATAATGCTGTGTGTGTCCAGGTACTTCCTGTTCTTCCCCACGAGAAGGGAAACACCTGCATCTATTGTGGATTCATGGGTCTGTATGAACTAAGTAGCTTTTTGCATGGAAGGGAATGGAGATCTTTATGCACATTGATTGCGTTGGATGCCTTGTAGTGTCTTTTTATTGATACAGAATTTATGGGAAGGGATGAGAATGGTGTCGCCGGTAGCCATATAGAGGAGTAATAGTCAGTGAAACTCTGATTGATACAGCAACGTAAACTGAAAGCAAAAATATCAAGAGTTTCTAAACAAATATGTAATTGATGAGTGACATTATCTGGCCAAACCCTTCATTTCCTCCCATTTGTTAAAAAAATAAACAGAAGGCGTGCTTTTCAAAATACCGCTTGTCTCCCAAAATACCTAAAATGTCATTGAACTGGTTCGCATTTGTTATCTAATTACTCAGATAACAATTCTGTGATTTGGATCCAGATTTACATGCATGGAAATGGGAAGGAAGAGGGTGTCGACATTTCCTTCTTTCTACAGCAACATCCTGACAATGTGACACAGATAGTCTGGGGACAGTTCTGAATAAGGCTGAGCAGGGGATGATAGGAGAGAACATAATTTCTAAAGGTTGGATAAGCGAGCAAGGATCAGAAGGTAGAACTAGTACGGTGTGCTTTGCTTCTATTTGAACATCCCCCCCCCTTTTTTTTTGTCTGTGGCAAGAACTCACAAATAATTGCTTTCATTCGAAACAGCAGAATTAGCTGATAAAAGGGACGCTTAATGGATATTTACAACAATGTGCATTAAAACATGATTTAATGGGAAGCAATTTGGTGGCTCTCATGCTTAAATGTGGCATGGGTCTCAGTGCCTTCAGAATAATAGGATTTGTTTGTTTTACTGACATGTAGAAATACTGCACAGCAAGGGCTAAACATTGAATTTCCACAAATCCCAACTATTTTCAATTTGCATCAAAACATATTTTTTTATTTTGGTATAAAGTATTTTGATATAAATATACTATAAAAACATGAAAATAAATTTTACTTTTCTAAGAAGGTGTTGTTCCATGTTGTTTTTCTTTGTAGGTAATATACTTGAAGAAAACGCCTGAAGAAGCTTATCGAATACTTTTGTCTGGATCCAATCCACCATATGTTCCATTTAGGTATGGCTGCAACTGCTAATGATAATTTCGTATAGTGCTTTCAGATGTTCGAAGTGCTTCATACACATCATCTGGTTATAACACAGCATACATGTAAAGTATGACCTCCTGTCAAGCTTATTAAGATGCAGTATACATGCAGTCTCCAAGTTACAAACAGGATAGGTTCTGTAGATTCATTCTTAAGTTGAATTTGCATGTCAGTCTAAACAGGTACATTTTAAATGTAACTCCAGGTATATATATATATAGAGGGAGGGAGGGAGAGGGAGGGAGGGAGAGAGAAGCTTTGATGGCATAGAGACAGGTTAACACTCCTGTGGTGTTTGTTTTTCTGCCTGTGCCCCTGTTCAGAAGATTTAGTCTCACTTTCTGTTCCTGTGATAATTGAATATAAAAAATTAGCTTGTGGAAACCAGGATTGGTGAGAAAACTTCAGTTGAGATGCCTTTTCCCCATGATAACTCTTCCAGGAGTGAATTTCCCTTTCGAGAGATAGATTTCCCTCACTTCCTGTGGCCCTGTGCCGGCAGGACTGAAGACCGACAGGTCGCAAGTTCGAATCCAGGGAGAGGCGGATGAGCTCCCTCTATCAGCTCCAGCTCCTCATGTGGGGACATGAGAGACGCCTCCCTCAAGGATGATAAAAACATCACATCATCCAGGCGTCCCCTGGGCAACGTCCTTGCAGACGGCCAATTCTCTCACACCAGAAGCAACTTGCAGTTTCTCAAGTCACTCCTGACATAACAAAAAAAAACAAACACCTAGGAGTTGTTTGTAAATCGGATGTTTGTAACTTGGGAACTGCCTGTATTTGAATCTGAAACTTTCAGATTCATAGCATAATCTGATCACTACTGTGTTACACCAGGTTTCTTTGCAATTTAAGCAAATTGCGTATAGTTTTTTAAATGCAATGTGATTCTGAGTCCAGCAGAATCTGCTACTAAACTCTTCAATCAGCATGTCATGGATTGTGTTGTACACCTCTACTTACAGCAGTAGAGTGTTCTCAGGCCATTCCTTGTGATTTAAATAGTATGTTTATATTATTAATTATTTTATTTCATTTTTGGGACATTGCCACATAATATGTAGGCACTTTCAAATCCATGTTAATGTTAAAAACATTCGTCAATCAGATTTTAAATTGAAACTGAAGTTCTTGAGATACTGAAGTCAGTCCCTCAAATCAAATACTGTGCTTCTGAGGAATCACAGAAATGCTTTACTGTGATTCCTAAGGTAAAGCTCATCAGAAAGCATGCTAAGATTTGCCTAATGACTGGTTACAGTCTGAACTTTCTCCATGATTAAGATGTAAAGCAAATGTCCACTCTTGTGTTGTTCATCCATTATCAGACAAGAGATTTCGGTGGTAAGCTGCTACTGCTGAATGACACTTTCATACATTTTGATGTAATTGTTTGGGACCACATCTATTTTGTATAGAAGAACTGAGTGTTACCTTTCATGATAGCTTTGTTGGAAACAGATGTGTGAAGCATAGATACCAAATAATCAGGGATGAGTGCAAAGTTAGATGATGTCGTTAGCTGTTTATTTGTCCTGATCACAGTGAGTTTGCATCTAGCTGCTGGACATTTAAGAAGCAATAGTATAAAAGCTGGCATTTCACAGTAATCCTATTCATTATTGAAAAATGTTTGCTATTTCAGTTGCTTAAAGTTGCTGGCAAAAGGCCAAGGATCAAAGCGTTGTCAGGACTGCATTTTCATAGCTGTCAAAAGTGTATCATAAGCGGTGGGCATCAAATATTTAAAACTAGAACAGCTTTTGGATGCTAGAAATCAAGACTGAAGGCAGTATATGCTCACTTGGTGGGACCAGTACATAAAACAGGTGAATTCATATGTACAGTATATATATTTACTTACTTACCTTTTAGTTTAGCCTTCTGACTTTTTCAGCCTAGCACTTTTCTTCTGAAACTCAATCACTCAGAATGTGGTTCTTGGAGACCGGCTTAAAGTGTTTGGCATGAGATGAAGGAAAGCCTTCGCAACGTCTTTTGTTTTGCTGCTTGCTGTTTCCAGGAGCATGAACTCTTAGGACTGCTTGTTTTAACCATCTTGGGAAGGACCCTGTGGGGCATACTTGGAGTAGGCCAAAACTTGCACATTCTCATCCTCCCTCTCCCAGGTTTAGGGAAAGGTTAATACTAAATTTGGTGATTCACATACATACAAGGATATACCAGCTTGCTTAATTACTTCTATTTGCAGTGAGCATAGTAGGCGAGACTGTAGTTTATTCTAGTCTCTTTCTACATTGGTGAAGTAAATCCACATTCCTTCATTTAATAACAACAACAACAACAACAACCCTTATTTATATCCCACCACCATCTCCCCAAGGGGACTTGGGGCGGCTTACAAAGGCACTCTAAGGTGCAGCATATAACATAAACGATGTTGTTGTTCATTCGTTCAGTCGTCTCCGACTCTTCGTGACCTCATGGACCAGCCCACGCCAGAGCTCCCTGTTGGCCATTACCACCCCCAGCTCCCTCAAGGTCAGTCCAGTCACTTCAAGGATGCCATCCATCCATCTTGCCCTTGGTCGGCCCCTCTTCCTTTTGCCTTCCACTTTCCCCAGCATAATTGTCTTCTCTAGGCTTTGCTGTCTCCTCATGATGTGGCCAAAATACTTAAACTTTGTCTCTAGTATCCTTCCCTCCAGTGAGCAGTCGGGCTTTATTTCCTGGAGGATGGACTGGTTGGATCTTCTCGCAGTCCAAGGCACTCTCAGAACTTTCCTCCAACACCACAGCTCAAAAGCATCGATCTTCCTTCGCTCAGCCTTCCCTAAGGTCCAGCTCTCACATCCGTAGGTGACTACAGGGAATACCATGGCTTTGACTAGGCGGATCTTTGTTGCCAGTCTGATGTCCCTACTCTTTACTATTTTATCGAGATTGGACATTGCTCTCCTCCCAAGAAGTAAGCGTCTTCTGATTTCCTGGGCACAGTCTGCATCTGCAGTAATCTTTGCACCTAGAAATACAAAGTCTGTCACGGCCTCCACGGTTTCTCCCTCTATTTTCCAGTTGTCAATCATTCTTGTTGCCATAATCTTGGTTTTTTTGACGTTTAACTGCAACCCGGCTTTTGCGCTTTCTTCTTTCACCTTGATTAGAAGGCTCCTCAGCTCCTCCTCGCTTTCTGCCATCAGAGTGGTGTCATCTGCATATCTGAGGTTGTTAATGTTTCTTCCAGCAATTTTCACCCCAGCTTTGCATTCATCAAGCCCCGCACATCGTATGATGTGTTCTGCATACAAGTTAAAAAGGTTGGGTGAGAGTATGCAGCCTTGCCGTACGCCTTTCCCAATCTTGAACCAGTCTGTTGTTCCGTGGTCAGTTCTTACTGTTGCTACTTGGTCCTTGTACAGATTCCTCAGGAGAGAGACAAGGTGGCTCGGGATGCCCATTCCACCAAGAACTTGCCACAATTTATTATGATCCACACAGTCAAAGGCTTTAGAATAGTCAATGAAGCAGAAATAGATGTTTTTCTGAAACTCCCTGCCTTTCTCCATTATCCAGCGGACATTGGCAATCTGGTCTCTCGTTCCTCTGCCTTTTCTAAACCCAGCTTGAACATCTGGCAACTCTCGCTCCATGTATTGCTGGAGTCTTCCTTGCAGGATCTTGAGCATTACCTTACTGGCATGAGAAATAAGGGCCACTGTACGGAAGTTGAGCTGAGTTTGGCATTTCCCTTTTTTGGTATGGGGATATAAGTTGATTTTTTCAGTCTGATGGCCATTCTTGTGTTTTCCATATTTGCTGGCATATGGCATGCATCACCTTGACAGCATCATCTTTCAAGATTTTAAACAGTTCAGCTGGGATCCCGTCGTCTCCTGCTGCCTTGCTGTTAGCAATGCTTCTTAAGGCCCATTCAACCTCACTCCTCAGGATGTCTGGTTCTAATTCATTCACCACACCGTCAAAACTATCCTCGATATTATTATCCTTCCTATACAGATCTTCTGTATAGTCTCGCCACCTTCTCTTGATCTCTTCAGCTTCTGCTAGGTCCCTGCCATCTTTGTTTCTTATCATACCAATTTTTGCCTGAAATTTACCTCCAATGTTTCTAATTTTCTGGAAGAGGTCTCTTGTCCTTCCTATTCTGTTGTCTTCTTCCACTTCCATGCATTGCTTATTCAAAAATAGTTCCTTATCTCTTCTGGCTAACCTCTGGAATTGCGCATTTAACTGGGCATATCTCCCCTTATCCCTGTTTCCTTTTGCTTTCCTCCTTTCTTGTGCTACTTCCAGTGTCTCAGCAGACAACCATTTTGCCTTCTTGGTTTTCTTTTTCTTTGGGACGTACTTTGTTGCCGCCTCCTGAACAATGTCTCGGACTTCTGTCCATAGTTCTTCTGGGACTCTGTTTACTAAATCTAGTCCTTCAAATCTGTTCTTCACTTCCACTGTATATTCGCTAGGAATGTTAGTGAGATCATATCTAACTGGTCTGTGTATTTTCCCTGATCTCTTTAGTTTTATTCTAAATTGGGCAATAAGAAGTACGTGATCTGAGCTACAGTCAGCCCCAGGTCTTGTTTTCACCGACTGGATGGATGTCCGCCACCTTTGGCTGCAAAGGATGTAGTCAATCTGATTTCGGTGTTGACCGTCTGGTGAGGTCCATGTGTAAAGCCGTCTTTTAGGTTGTTGGAAGAGAGTGTTTGTTATACACAGCGAGTTTTCCTGACAAAATTCTATCAGCCTGCGTCCCGCTTCATTTTGTTCTCCCAGACCATGCTTGCCTGTGATCCCAGTTGTCATTTGACTTCCCACCTTGGCATTCCAGTCTCCTGTAATGAAAATAATGTCTCTTTTTGGTGTATTATCCAGTAGGTCCTGCAGATCCTCATAGAACTGATCTACTTCTGCTTCTTCAGCAGCTGTGGTTGGGACGTATATTTGGATCACTGTAATGTTGAAAGGCTTTCCTTGCACT